CATCTCTCTAATCCTGTTTTCTTATTCATGAAATGAGGATAGAAAGAACTTGTTCATCAAGTTGTTTTGAAATATTGAAATATGTAAAGAATTTTCATATTGCCTCAATAGAGAGAGTTGCATTATTTGTGGGCGTTTAGATTCCAAAATCTAATATGTCTAAGGTAAAAATTGTGAGTAGCCAAAATTATGGTTGAAAATCATTTAAATCCACAATAATAACATGTGGCCATATTTATGTATTATGTTATGAATAAATATACTGTTTTTTAGTTAGCACACAACTGAGAATTTCTCTGAATAGTTAGAACAGATTAGAATAGCTGAACACCATTTAATGTAGTTGGCTTATGGTTAGAAGTTATGTTCTATAAAAAAATGCACAACTTTACATTTTTAAATTGTTTCTCATTCATGCTCTATGTCAAATAAGGGTAGATGGGAAATGGATGATGCCCCAGGTAGTGTCACTCCAAGAACAGTCTAATGGCTACTCTAGTGTCTGGAATGTTGCTAGCTGATGAGGCAGAGGAAGAATACATGATGAATTGGCCACTAGCTCTTAAATTCTTCCACCCAGGAGTAGTTCTCTATACTTGTACTCAAATTCATTGGCAAAGCGAGTCACTTTGCCATGCCTCTTTCGAGGTGGCTGGGGAAGTGCAATCTGCCTGGGTTCTGAGAAGCAGAAGGAATGGAAATACTTGTATCACTCATGTTTACCACAGGGGCCACATGTTTACCATATGTTTACCACTCATGTTTACCACAACATTTTGAAAGCTCCTCAGGTTATTCTAAGGTGAAGATAAAGTTGAGTACCACTTATCTAGGGCTTATATTTTTTGACAGGAAGAGAGGGAAGAATCACCTGCTTTCCTTAATGTCTCATATTAATTTGTGCAGGTTCAGTATGTGCATAATGTTTCTCTGTGTGTGTGTGTGTGCGCACGTGTGTGTGCACATGATGTGACATAAGTGGACTTATATTTTACTTATGTTGAAGGGTTGCTTTACATGGTGCAGAAAACAAAATGTCAAGGGTCATTGGTGGGGATCATTGCTTATTTGCTCTTGCTCTCTCCTAATATCCTCACAAAGTCTCTGATGCCTTCAGGAGTGCTAGTTGTTCAAGGTTTTGAAATGAGTTAAATGGATAAAGGTCATAACAGAAAAAAAATGGAGATAAGTTTAGATATGGGTCTCAAAAATTTCTTTTGGCCTCAATACTCGTGATTATTGTAAGTAAGCCATAACTTTAATTAGGCTTTTAGAAACCCATCAATACTCACCAATTATCCGGGAGATTATGAAAAAATTACCACTGCTAGGCTGACATGTATTTTAGTTTACAGATAAGTGGCTCTCTCCCAAACTTTGTACATACAGGCAAATATCAATATTTGGAGCAATATTCTGAGCCATCATTTGTATCTAAATCATTCCACCATGCTGAATACAAATGCCAGATAATGTCACTTTGAAGGATGTCCTTTCTGGGTTTATGTCCACGTAAGATGGTTCAGGTTCCTGAAAGACTGATCACAGTGCATCTTACGTCCCTGCAGGAGATAGGAAGCCAGAAAGAAGTTCCCTGGATGCTTGGGAAAGGTGGAAAGAAGGATAACTCACATGCTGGATGGTACAGATGACTTAGATCCATGGATTTGCTTAAAATAATGTTCATTAAAACATACTGCCTGGTGCATGCAAGGCTCTCAGTACACACTAGTGAATAGTAGAATTAGATTCTTAAAATTAGAAAGACCCTAAACAACTCCTAAATGAAGCATAAATCCTCTCAAGAGCCTCCTCCAATAGTATTCATCTATCCTGTGCTTGACTATCTCTAATGATAAATTCATTATTTCCCACAACAATCTACTTAGTAAGTTCTTTATAGTGAGTTGGAATTTGCGTCTTCTGTTTCTTCTTCTTCCCTCTGGAACCAAACAGCAAATATAATCCTTTTTCTACAAGGGAGCCCATCAAACATTTAAGAAGAATTAATATATCACTTTAAAAATCTTATGTAGACTAAATGTCTTATCTATTTAACTCTTCCTATAATCGTAGAACGTCATATTGAAAGAAATCTATTGAACAATTTATAAACTCTTTAACAATGCAAGAATCTCCAGAAAGTTCATCAAAAGCATCCATCCATTCAGCTTCCGTTCTGCCAGTTTCTGATTGTTATGGGGTGAATTGTGTCCATACCCCTCCTCCCCAAATATGTTAACCCTAACCCAAAGTACTTAACTCCTAGTGTGACAGCCTGCTGAAATGTGAAAGGGTTAAAGGATAATTAAAACCGGAAACTGGACAAAGGAAGTCTATACCTTAGGCCTAATTCCTGGAACCCCTAACTGCATTCTGTTAATCATGAAACTTGTAACAATGAGCTCATACGCTAACTGCCAATTTTAGCCTATGTAACCCTGCTTGCTTTCGTGGCATGAAAAATAATCAATTGTATATAAGCTGAGAATTACTGTTCGGCCATCGCCCATGGGAATACTGGGTATTGCCCATGGGAACATAGGCAATCACCCATAGGAACATAATATTCTAATAACAAGCTGTCTGCTTCTGTCTTCCCCACTTGCACACCTGACCAGTGGGTTGACAGGTAGTGAATAAGAGAAAAATAGACCTTTGTGTTCAAGATAGAATGAAGAATGGGATTTAGGGCTTAAAAACCTTGTATCTTGGCATTTCGGGGCTGCCCCTTCATACAGGACAGCTGCCGGCTAATAAACAGCCTTTGAGAGCATACTTGGTTTGGTCTATTCTATACAGGCCACAACACCAGTACCTAACCTCCAGTATCTAGCACCTAGTACCTTAGAATGTGACCTTATTGGGAAATAGAGTTGTTACAGATGTTAGTTAATTAAGATGAAATCATACAAGAGTAGGATGGGTTCCTCATCCAATAAGACTGGTGTATTTATAAGAAGATAGCCATGTAAAGATAACAGAGATAAAGGAAGAAGAGCGAGGACATCATGTAATGACAAAGGGACATCATGTAATGACAAAGCTGCCAAAGAATATCAAAGATTGACAGCAAATCACCAGAAGCTAGGAAGAGGCAAGAAAGGATTCCCCTATAGGTTTCAGAGGGACATGACTATGCCAACACTTCATCCCGGACTCAGCCTCCAGAACTATCGAACAATGCATTTCTGTCCTCATTTTGTGGTATGTTGTTACAGCAGCCTTAGGAAACAAATACATGGTCTTGGACTATATTTTGGACTTTCTTTTAAGAATCATCCCAACATGATCATTCCATGTGATAATCATAAAGCAAGGAAACTCATGGAGTTCTTTCATCTACATACCCCCAGTCCTGAACTGAAAGCAATTTTAAATAGTCTGTGAACTAACATATATGTCAAATACACGCTATAGGAGGATAAATCTTCTAATCTACATATTTAGGTATACCAATGTAATTTCCTTATTTTTCTGTAACTTGATTTTTGAACATCTTTGCTGAGATATAATTAAACCAAGTTTCAACATCTTTGCTGAGATATAATTAAACCAAGTTATGGCATTAGAATCATCCTTTTAGTGTACAGAGTTTTTTTTTTTAGTATATTCACAAAGTTGTGCAACCATCACCATTATTTAATTTTAGAATATTTTCATCACTGCCCCCCTCAAAAGAAAACTCCATGCCAAGTTATCAGGCACTCCTCACTACCCCTATATCTAGCCCCTGTCAACCACTAATCTACTTTCTGTTTCCATTGATTTGCCTATTCTGGATATTTCATATAAATGGACTTGCACAATATGTGGTCTTTTGTGACTGACTTCTTTCACTTAGCATAACGTTTTCAAGGTTCATCTATGTAACAGCCCCCCATTTATTTTTATTGCCAAATGACATTCCATTGTATAGATATACTGTTTTGTTTATTTATATCAGTTGACAGACAGTTGGATTGTTTCCACTTTTGGCTACTATGAACAATGAAGCTATGAACATTTGTGTACAAGTTTTTGTGTGTACGTATGTATTCATTTCTCTTGGGTGTGTACTTAACACTGGAATTTCTGGGTTATGTGATAAATCTGCTTAATGTTTTGAGGAATGATAAACTATTTTCCATAGTAACTGCATCATTTTATATTCCCATCAGCAATGTACAAGGGTTCTAATTGCTCTATCTTAACAAACACTTGTTATAGGTATTTTATTCTAGCCTTCATAGTGGATGTGAAGTGGCAACTCATTGTGGTTTTGATTTGCATTTCTCTAATGAGCAATATTGTTTAACATCTTTTCATGTGTTTATTGGCCATTTATATATTTTCTTTGGAAAAATGTCTATTTAAAACCTTTGCCCATTAAAAAAAAGAGTTCATTTATTTTTTGTTAAAATTATTGGGGTGACATTGGTTAATAAAATCATATAGGTTTCAAGAGTACAACTCAATAATACATCATATGTATATTGCATTACGTGTTCACCATCCAAAGCTAAATTTCCTTCTGTCACCATATAATTGACTCCTTTTCCTTTTACTTACCTCCCCACAACTTCCCTTCTCTCTGGTAACCACTAATCCACTATCCATGTCCATGAGCCTCTGTTTATCTTGTTTGTTGCTTTCAGTTTTATATCCCACACATGAGTGAAATCATATGGTTCTCAACTTTTTCTGACTTATTTTGCTTAAGAACTGGCAATGTAAATGACATTGGAAAAGGACAAATCCAGGGATAGTGTAGAACAATACAGAACCGTCCTGGTCCCCAGCTGGCTCAGAGAACTTTGGGAAAGCTGCATCTCCAAGCTTCATTTCATTGGAGCTCACCTGCCCTGCGCCCCAGACCCCCTTCCGCATGCGCACTGCGGGAAAACGCCGCTTGCTTTTCTCAACGGCTTTCCCACCCCCGAATTCTGAGCTCGGATAGTTCCGTTTCAAGGGACCGCCCCTTCAGCCCAACCAATGTGAAAGCTGCCTTGGTGCTTCGCCCTCCCTGCCGGCAGTGTGCGGCGGCGCAGCTTCCAGACCCTGGTGGCGAGTGGGGATGGCTGCGGTAGGGGCGACTGCGGGCCGGCTGTTGAGACTCCGTGCGGCCAGGGCCGAGGGACGTTGGCGTCGGCTGCGTGGTGCGGGGCTGCTGCGGGGCCTTCTGCAGCCCGCCTCTGCCGGCGGTGATGCGGCCCAGAGGGGAGGGGGCAGGTGGCTCACTTCACTTTCCAGCCCGACCCAGAGCCCCGGGAGTACGGTGAGCTAGGGGCTGTCCTTTCCTCTCTCACTGCAGCCAGACCCCCAGGAGGGCGGGCACTCTCAGGGAATGACACCCTGTCTGTCCGGGGTCGGGGCCGGGGCAGATCTCCTTGCATCCCACCATAATCCCAGCCCTGCTTTCTGGATCCGCGTCCTACTTTAGGGTCTGACTGTGGTTTCTTCTCCGCACTATTTTCGTGACTGTTCAACCCTTGAGAGGCAGCCCTTCGGCACCCCCAGATGGGTGAGAGAACACACTTGCAGTCTGCAAGGGCTTGAGGGTGGAGGAGTGGTGCCTAGGGCACACTTTCCTGCCCTGGCTGGCCTTAGATGTTGTCCCAGCTTACCAGGCAGCGATTTTTTTAAAAGAGAGTTTCCCTGCCCCTTTGGCAGATAAGAGGAAACAGAGGAAGTAAACTTACTGAATTGATTTTTCCCAAAGTCACAGAATAGGTTTTTGCTAGAGATGGAAAAGAGTCCAGGTTTCTCATCTTATCCTGATACTGAGCTTGCGCTGGGGCTAGGTTGCCACTTAGCCAAGGGGGGCTAATGATGTAGGTGAAGGGAGGAGGAAGTCCTCTAGTGCTTCCAAGAGTAGCACCTCAGTATGACAGTTGCATGACTTTCACAATTTCTTCTAAAAGTTTAATGTAATCTCCAAAAGATCCAGTCTGTCATCAGACCATCAGAATACGAAAACGGTTACCTTTTTCTTTTCTAATAACTTCTTACATGCTAGAGCTGAAGTGAGTCTTGTGAATAATAAGAATGAACATTTATTGAGTGCTTACCATTGGTAGGCACTGTGCTGAGAAATTTACATTCATCATCTCATTTGTTGCTTAGGACAAGCTTAAAGAGATTGGTAATGTTTTTATCCCCATTTTTAAGTTAGGTTAACTGAGGTCTTGAGATAGTTTGTCCAACGTTACACAGGAAAGTTAGTGGTAGCTTCAGATTCCAGAGTTTCCATTCTAAACTAGGCGCTAGAATGCATGTAGAAATAATTTGCTAAGAGGTGTCCCAGTTTTGTAAGTAGTAGGTACTATTGAACAGTTAGTAGATACCATCAAGGTGAATAGCAGTGTTTTCTCACCAACAGGTTAAACCTCGAATTCTTTCTTCAGAGCAAAGAAACTTTAGCCCAAAACTTGAGAAATAGAGCACAGGACTTCTTAACTGCCTTACATAACTGTGAAATTGCTAAAATTTGAGTAAAATAATAATTACATTTTAATGTTTATTCTTATTATAAAAATAAAAAACAGAATTTGGGTAATAGAAAAAAATAAAAAAAATAAAGTAAGCACACCACCCATTATTGTAAATATTCCTAACATTTTGGGATGTATCCTTCCAGGTATTTCCTTCCAGTTTAGCAGAATTAAATTATTATACTAATAAAATTAGTGGAGTTAAATTTTCCTATAATTGTAGTTTTAATACAAATATAATCTGCATTATTTCATCACAGGCATTTTCCCATACTGATATATAGTTTTTATAATCTTCTTTAGAAGACATGTTCTGTGGAGTAGAAACACTATAATCGAGTGGTTAAAATTTTGGCCCTACAGTCAGATTATCTTAGATTCAGTCTTGGTCCTACTTCTTTAACTTTGGACTCAACACTTACCCTCTGCAAGCCTCAATTTCTTTATAAGTAAAGAGTTAATAATAATACTTTCTTCAGTAGGTTGTTATGAGGACTAAATAAGGATAATGTGTACCATATACTTAACAGTAGTCTCTTACTACTACCAGGGAGCACTCAGAAATACATGGAAACTTTAAATTGTTAGCATTATGCTTTAGTTGTTACAGTTTTGCAGTGTTATAAATAATGCAGATAGAAACATTGCATGTGTCTTTTATGTATCTAAGATAATTTCTGTAGGATAAAGTCCTAGGGATGATATTTCTGACTCAAAGATATGAGCACTTTAATGAATTTTTAATGCATAGTTCAAATTACCATTTTATACTCTCATCTGCATGTATAAGAGTGTGAGGTGTACTGTGATACTGTGATTTATAATAAAAAAAATACATATTTGTTTTTTGTTCCAATCGTGGCACAGAGCTCCTAAACCCTTGAAATTTCCTATGAGGAGAGCAAGAAAGGTATCTTTTGTTATGTTAATGTTGACTTTTTGGGAAATCTCTAAGTCACTTAAGGATGGGGGATGGTCACCAGAGGAACCAACCCTATCATTAGAGGTTTGGAATTTACAGTCTCACTCCCTTGGCCTCCTAGGAGAGCAGGACTGGAGATTAAATGAATTGCCAGTGGCCCATGATTTAATAATCATGCCTATGTAATGGAAGCCTCCAAAAAAACCCAAAAGGATGGAGTTCAGAGAGCTTCCAGGTTGGTGAACAGGTGGAGGTTTTGGGGTAAAGGTGTACTCAGGGAGCACAGAAGCTCTCACCCTTTCTCATATACCTTGCCTTATACCTCTTCTATCTGGATGTTCCTGAGTCATATCTTTTTATAATAAACTAGCGATGTAGTAAGTAAAATGTTTCTCTGAGTTCTGTGAGCTGCTTTAATAAATTAGTTGAACCCAAGGAGGAGGTTGTGGGAAACTGATTTTTAGTTGGTTAATCAGAAGCACAGGTGACAACCTGGACTTGGGTTCTTGTCCGGATTCGGGAGTGAGGGCAGTCTTTTGGGATTGAGCTGGTAAGCTGTGGAATCTGATGCTACCTCCAGGTAGTCTCAGAATTGAGTTGAATTATAGGACAACCAACTGGTATCACAGAATTGGTTTGTGGTATGTTAAACACACATACACACACACACACACACACACACACACACACACTGAAATTAGTATCAGAATTGTATGTACGCACACACCCATTATTTAACAGCATTTTCCCTCCACCGCTGGAATCAGCAATTGAGAAACCAGGGGTGGGAATGCAAAAATACTGTTTTCTAACTGTGGTTAGTTGGATCCAAGGGCAAAACTAGAGGATATGATGGGTTGGCTGTATTGAAAAAAAAAAAAAAATCCATGCGTAAATGGACCCATGCTGTTCAAGGGTCAGCTGTACTTTTGTACTAATGTTTTGTATATTAAGGATATTAATGAAGATATTAACTTCCTGCCTTTCATAGGTGCTACAAAGTATTTTCATTCTTTTATTTTGACACATGAAAAGGACTACTTAAATAGACTGAGGGGTGACATTTAAGCCCCACTGTGAGGAATGACAGAGGAATTACCTGTGTAAAGACCAGGGTGGAGCAGTGTTTTCCAGGAAGAAACAAGGACGAGCAAGGAAGGAGGCCCTGAGATGGTGTGAGCTTGGGCTGTGATGACTGAGAAAGCCATTGTGGTTGAGTAGGGGGAGGTAGGTAGCTCTAAAGATTAAGGGTAGACTGAAGATTCTGCCCCCCCGTGCCCCGCCCCGGAGATGAGGGGCTTCTTTTCGGTATTAGAGTTTGTAGGGAAGGGAACAACAGGAGTAGAGAGTTTAGAAAGCAGGGGGTTTATACGGGGAACTGAAAGTAATGAGTTTGTTTGGAGGAAAAGGAGGAGAGGTAGGAAATAAGTTTGAGAAGGTAGATGGAGGCCTCAAGAGCCAGAATAAATGTTGGGGGAGAGAAAAGATTGAATATCTCCAATGTACCCTATGGTGTGCCAGGCGAATTACATTTAAGTTTAGATTTTGTTCTTTGGGCTGTGGAGAGCCATTCAATGTTTTTAGGCAAGAAAGTGACTTAAGATCTGCTCGTGTTATATGATTAGGAAAGTTTATAGAATGGATCAGTGAAGGGAAAGTAAGGAGGTGGAGAGATCAGTCAGAGGATACTGTAATTATCCACATTAGAGGATATAATTGTTTTGAACTTTGAGAGTGCCAGTGGGAAGAATGGTTGTATGATTTGGAGGAATTGACCGGATTTGGCACTTTGAGGGTGAGGGAGAAGGGGTGTTAAAGGTGACTTGACATTTTCAGTCTGGGAGCTAAAAGGATGGGTAGAGTGGTGGTGACCCTGATAGGAATGAGGGATGCTGGAGGAAAAGCACGTTTTTGGAGAGAGGATGGCTTAGATTTTAGGTTCGTCGATTTGATGTCTTAGTCTGTTTAGGCTGCTATAATGAAAATACTATAGACTGGGTGGCTTATAAGCAATAGAAATTTATCACAGTTCTGGAGGATGGGCAGTCTAACAAGGCACTGGCAGATTGGCTCTGATGAGAGCCCCCTTTCTGGTTGTCAGATGGCTCTTTTCATTATGTCCTCACATGGCGAAAGTGGCAAGAGAGCTCTCTGAGGTCGTTTTTGTAAGAGCACTAATCCCATTCATGAGGGCTCTACCCCATGACCTATTCACCTCCCAAAGGCCCCCTCTCCTTACCCAATTGCATTAAGGATTAGGTTTCAACATATGAATTGGGGTGGGGGGGTGGTATGCAAACTTTCAGTCTATAACTTTGGAAGTGTTGGCAGAATATAGCACTATGAGGCAAGCTAGTCTGAGAGCTAATCTGGTACCAAAACAACTATGTGAAAGTTGGGAACCATTGAGACTAGGTGATTCTCTTCATATCTC